ACAACTACTTAGCGACTCAGGTGAGTCTACCCTCCATCATCCTGTAGATCATCTCTCACCGTGTGTGGATGTTGTAGATGCTGTAGGAGGCCATGTAGGAGTGACGGTAGACCTGCAGGAACAGAGATGGAGATGTTAGAGACAGAGACCAAGAGGAGACATTTAAAGGAGCTAAATGTCTGAACGAGCTGCCAGTCCTGACGGCCTGTGGACAGTTGTCATGGCGACAGCTGTGGGACTAGACATTTAATTCCTTCTGAGGATCCAGCAGACAGAGGGACACTTCTTCAGGACAGGACCTGTCAGCAGGAGGCTACAGAAGAGAACCGATCTTAGCTGCAAGCGCCCCCTCAAGGACCACAGATGAATGACATGTAGGCTCAGTTAAATTAGTCCGTTTTTTTTTTAATCATGACACTAAATTGATGTAAAATGTGAAATATGTGAGACCTTTTCCACATTAAGGCGTTTTTGATGCTTTACTAACTAATCAAGAGTTAATTCTGATTCCATCTCCAATAATAAATGGAGTATTTCTCACAATCATCGTGATCTCTGAGTACATGAAGGGTTAAACTATATCATCAAATGCATAAATGCTAATCTGTATGATTAAATAACTTAGTTATTTTAAATTTCTTTTATACCATCCCAATACAATNTATGATTAAATAACTTAGTTATTTTAAATTTCTTTTATACCATCCCAATACAATATATACCATTACATGCAACAAACAATTAAATGTCCTATTAAAAAAAATCTAATCACCTTCTGTTTTTTTTTAAATTATGAATTAAATAATTTGTTTAGTGAAGTTATTTTGTTTTTAGGGGGTCTCCAGGTTTTTGTATTTTTCCTTTTGGGATCAGAAGGGCCCTCTAGTTCAGCTAATAATGGAATAAATTTGCTCTATTTCTACATAAAATGTGGTTAAAAAAATATAGATTTATTTTATTAATCGGGTTTTTGTATAAATAAAAATTGACTGTCCTATTTTATCTATTTTTTTAGTCCAGGAGAGTCTCTGGTTCTACATTTTAATGAAAACCCTGATTCTATTTTTCCGTCAGAAACTCGATGTGCATAAATACTTTTCCGGCAGCAACAGTTTGTTTCATTTGGTTTGAATAAACCAAGCAACACAGATCTCAGAAAAACCTCAGAATAACCTTGATGGTGGAATGAAAGTGTCTCTGAGCTGCATGAGACCAGAATATGGAGATGAGCTGTGATTAATGGCCGAGGCACTAATCCCTCCACAGCTCAGGCTCTGATTAGCGTTAGCATATCTCTGCATCCTCTGCTCTGATGGTACGCTGCTGATTGGGTCTGGATCTGGTCCTGCTGGGGATCAATGTGACTTGCTGGTCTCATGTTACTCTAAAAATA